GCGAGAGAGCGAGAGAGCGAGAGCATGTACATGAAAAAAAGCCTGTAGAGAATGAGTGTGGATATGAGGTAGAAGGGAGTGAGAGAGATGGGAGAAAAAGGAGACGGGGGAGACACGGGGGGAGAAAAAAAGAAAGAAAGAGACAGGAAGAGAGAGCAAGGAGGAGGAGACACGCAGAGAGAGCAAGAGAATGAAACGGAGAGAGGGGAAAATACAAGCAAGAGAAACAGGGGCAAAGAAGGACCATGGGAATGAAAAGAAAAAAAAAAATCACACAAAAAAACAAAGAACGTGACAAACAAGGAAAATGAGAGTGAGACGAGATGAAAAGAAGAGAGAGGGGGAAGGGAGAGAGAGGGGGGAAGGGACAGAGAAGTGAAGGAAGTGGTCTGAGATTCAATTCAATTAATAGCAGTAAGCCTGACAGCCATGTAATAATCAAAAACCATCCAATTTCTCATTGACGTCAGGGAGGAGAAGAGGGGAGAGATGGAAAGAGGGAGAGATGCAAACAGAACAAAAGAAAGATTAAAAGATAAAGAGAGGAGGGAAAGAGGATGAAAAAGAAGGAGACAGGTTACAGGAGAGCAAAGTGAAGACAAGAAAGACAGAGAAAGAGAAAGGTAGATGGTGTGGTCTTCCATACCAACAGACTAGGTGGCCAATGTTAGACCATCCGGAAGTAGATAGCGGCTAACTGCTAGCCGTAAGCCTTCATATTACAACCACTTGAATGGTTTTGAAGTGAGAGAGATTATTTCAGTTTTGAGAGTAGTTCAACAGTATGAACAAAGCGGGAACATTGTCAATGTTCAGGGTTGAATATCATTATTACTCAAAGAGAGAAGCTTTTACAAGTTGTGATTCATTCTAGGAAAACCTTTTTATTGTAATGATGTATTTTGAAGCCTTTACTACATGCACAACTCTGTTACATACAGTTGTCTTCTCTACATATTTTCTCAATAAATGATAACAAATTCAAATAGACAATGTATAACCTCTGAGAGACTTGATCGTGTACTTCTTATACGTGACCTTGAGACTAATGCGTGTCTACATTAGGGGGCTCCGGACTACTGTTTGACTTCACAGAATCTTCCATTTGACGTGCGTAACTACAGTGATGGATATGCAAATAGTGTGTCTTTGACTAGTGAACACAAGATGTCTCCATTACTATGTGCACTGGAAGTTCTCAGTATCCATATCACACTTGTGTAAGTTGCATACTGGACCACATTGTCACAGTGTCAAATTCTGCCCAAACTCACTCTGAGACTGAACTCCTTGCTCACAGAAATTCACGGAGAGCTCAATCTGGTGTGACTGTGCTTTTACTTTGCTGATATCCTCATCCTCATGCCAACATCACCCCAACCTCCTTTGTAAATGGTTACGATCATGTGTAGGACATTGAAATACACTGTATCTTACAACACCAGCTGAGGTGAACAAGCCTGACTAGGATGTTAGAGGAGAGGAAGTGTATGAGTAAGGTCGCTGATGTGATCAAGTGGGAGACTAATTAAGACATGCACCTTTGATACTTGTCAGTTATGTGAAGATTTCTGCACGGTTTCGTCAGCTTTTGGTATGCAAACACTAGTGTTTCCACACACAGAAAGGAAGAAAAAAACCCACAGATGCTCACACGCAGCATATCAAATGTGACAAACTTCAATGGAAAGTGATGAAAAAATATGAGGAAGGCAAGACTGGATGGCTGGATTGCCCCCTTTGATCTTTCGTGATTCTTGGTGAATTCTTTAACTGCATTATCCACATGGTTTGGTTGGAGGGGGAAAAACAGAATGCAATTTCTGTAAATCACACGAGGATAATGCAGTCTGTCACAAATAAGGGAGAGACGAATCAATAAATATGCTAAACCAGTCAAAAAACAGTGATGTTAATATTTCTTCTGGCTGACATGCCAGTCTAAAATCGGCAGCAGAAAATCTATAGAGATGTGCAGGTACAAAAAACACAGAGAATCATGGTTTCTCTGTAAGCGTGTGAAAGGGCACGAGTCCTTTCAGCAAGGAGACTCCTTACATTACGCACACAGGGAAATGATTGTTTTCCTTCAAAGTGTGGGTTGTGGAGGAGACTTTGAAGGAGGTGATTAAAACACAGGGGGCTCCATACAGCAGTGGCAGATGAAACACTTACTGTATATTAGGTGTCCATCATAGCCAATCACCATGCAGGACACAGATGCTATGAAGTCACATGGTGATGAGAGGGCCACTAGGACTGGGTCAATGGTGAAACCTTGTTATCTAGAGAGGTTGTCAATTCTAATCTTCTACTAGAAAACAAATTAATTTAAATATAAAATCTCCAAAACATGGAGGATCCATTGTTAATACCATGGGCACAACTCCAATGCCAAAAACGCCTAAATTATTTTAATTTTATCCCTTCAATCTCAATCAAATGGATTTATTCATTTTGTTCGTTTGAGCTCAAAGCATTCACACCGAACCAGCAGGGCTTTACAAAAAGAACTAATAGCATTATTGGACAATGAGTCCGCTGGACGGAGAGGGCGTTGATTTGAGGGGCAGCTGAAGAGGCATCGATATCTGTGACACAGGAGGGATTGCTGGTGTCTGTAATCATTTGATGACTCAATGGATCGACCCAGTCCCGAGCGTGGAGAGGAACACAAACGGCATACTGATGGTGATTGGTACAGAAGCAAACCACTGATTGCTGCCTCATGGCGGGCTGATGCTGACATTTTCATCCAATTAGCACAGCTTACCGTCATCAAAGAAAACGAAACTTTGAGACTTGTCTGCATGGGGAGAAGGTGGGAGAAAAAACCAAGGAGAAACCAGAGAGTCAGTTCAGTCACCTTTTCTGATCAACAGGTGAGCATTTTTTTTAGATTTTATATAAATATACGCCAAAAAAAAAAGGCGCTTTGCAACTACACACACATATAGACACACTTTCTAGTTAAGAGGCACGCACATAAATATCTCTGCTGAACAGAAGCTTCATTTCCTGCCCTCCTTTACCTCATGCATATTAAATATCATTTTCCAGAGAAAATCCCTCAATGTCTGGTCTTTGTTGCGCAGAGAGATCTTATCTTGATTACTGTCTACAGGCTATTACCAAAAATTGGATTTTATCACTGATAGCAGTTATGTGTTCACCAAGTGCAAAGAAACCCAAAGACGTCAATGAAGAGATCAAGATGAGAAAAATGACATGTATGGCAACCATTTTTCATGTGGTAAAGAGCTTGAATTAATGGTTCCAATTTAGTATTCTGATCATTCCTGCAGAATGTTACAGAGAGATTTTCACAGTGAAAAGTCATGCCGCTGGCCTGGAAAAGATATATTATTATAACGGAAAGGCATAGTCGGTTGATTCAGAAATATACAACAGCTTTCCTGTTGAACAGAGTTAATTATATCCAGAATAGTTATAGTACAGGTTCTCAGAAAATAAACATGTATCTGCTGAAAGTGTGTTGTTTAGAAATACAGATAAGTAATAATCCTCCTGCTTTAACAGATGTTCATGTATTTTTACATTTATTAAACATATTCAGACAGACTGTAGAAATGGTGTTTTTTGCAGTTATATATTTCCTTAAGATAGACAACACCGAAAGAAGTCCCGGCGTCACCTTTGTAGCTTTAAAATTATGAATATGTGTATGTATTTTTCAGTTTGATCTGAGCTGGCAAATAAAAAAATATAACACAGGAGGATTATGCAAATCGAGGCGAAGTGGAGAGCTGGCGAGATCGATCAAAGGTGACAGCAATTTAGGGAGAAATTATGGTACAGTCATCACAAATAGGGCACACAATCAGCAGCGCACATAGCACAGAGTACTGTAGCTGCAAACAGCATCACAGAGGAAGAGAGGAAAATGCAATTATACAATACATCATCACTCAAAATATTGACAATTAGTCAGTCTGTGGCAGGCGCCCATCACTACTGTAAACACTGTCATCATCTTCAGCATCCTATAATCATTTATTGGTTTAAATACTTGGAGTATCTTAAAGGATAGAGTGGTATTTTTAATCAATAGAGGCAGGTTTAGTGTTTATAATAGCGGCTGAAGTAATATTATTATCTATGCATTGCATCATCAGCGATGCTGTTCGTTGTTCCACGGCACAATGTGTGTACTGTGCTCCATCGCCAAATCCCAAGACAAAAGTGAAAAAATAAATAAATAAAAAAATAAAACACAGCACAAGTTGGCCTCTAAAAATCGACTCCTCTGTTGGGAGCAGGACTAATTATCTATGTGGGCTTTCATCTTTTTCATTTCTGTAATTCTCTGTTCTTTCTGTGCCTGTTATAATCTCGCCCTGTTCTCTTTATCTCACAGCTGTACAGTATTACACTCCAAATGAGCTGGTCCGCTCACCAGCCGTATCACCCCACTGTGGCAGAGTGAACGTAGATATGGCAGAAATTAATACCTGAAGAGATATGTCCCGTTGATAACATACTTACGTACAATATGAATGTATTCCCCCAGGAAGAGCCTTTGTTCCTCCCCGGAGATATTTTTTCCACACAGCAGTGACATGAGTGTTTTGCGTGAATGTTTCATGATTTTAATTTGGGGGTCCTACAAACAAACGTGCGGATTCTTACTCTGAGTCAAGGGAATTCATTGCAAAACAACAAAGAAAATGATTTCAGAAGGAGCTATACACCTTTTGAAGTGGTGCATATTCTTATTAAATAATTAATAACACCAAATGAAAAATTAAGAGTCATAGGTAACTGAAATCCACAGACTGCTTGAAAAACATACCTTTTTGTGATGTGAATACATATTTGAATGTCTAAACTAACTTCTTCATATCTTTTCTGCTAATTCTGTAAATATTGATGTATGTTACATCCATCCGTAGATATAATTTAATAGCTAAAGTGGAGTTGTGCTGCTCATTTGCATGTTTCAAAGTGGAAATCTTTGTCATCTTTATTTGTTGCATAATTGTGGAATTGTTACATCATCCTCTGTGCAATTAATTATCGCACAATTCTCGTCTCTACCATTATCCTACCCCGTCTGCTGCAACTAATGCATTTCCCCGGAGTAATAACTCAAGTTTCAACTGATTTAAAATAGTACTATCAATATATAATATTGTACTAGAGAAAAACATAAAATCATGACTATATATTGTTTGTCAGAACCTTTAGTTAGTTAATAACTTTGATAAAGATGCACACTTGACTTCTGACTGCTTTCATATAATATTTAAGACACTTGCATATGCATCAATTTGTGAAAAAGGCATCTTTAAAGCAACAGTATTTTGTTCCGGTGTGCAGATAATGGTTTTGTTAACCAACTACAGCTCTAAAGCTGTGGATTATTTTTTACAACAAAGTATCACTGATAAAAAAATATTTGTATTTTTCTATGTTGCTTAATGCAAAATTCAGTGAAAGCCCTGAATCCTCGAATTAATTTTCAGGTTCAGCCACAACCTGCGCAGGAAGCCTTTTTGTTAAGATGGCAGCCACAAAGAAAAAAAAATATCTCTTCCTTTGCTTCTTTGTGGGGTATTTTGAGAGAGAAACAGTCAAGTAGCAGCAGCCACCACAGCTTGGGAGTCTCAGAGAGCCATTTGAAAAGCTAAGTGAGTGATCGATGACAGAAGTCAATTATCACCTCGCGGATCTGTCAGAGGCGGCTGTGCAGGGTGAGCGTCACACACCACCCACCTCTGACTAACCATCAACAACTGCGGACACCAGCCCAGCCAGACGGGAAAACACTGGTGACAGAGTATATGACAGGCAGCATTTACACTACCATTACCTCCACATGCTCTTATAGTGGTAAGAAAACCCCTCTCATGTTTTTTTCTGTTTGCACGGCATCATTAAAGCTTCAGTAAACACTTCACAGCCAGGCAAAATTAATGTACTGAGAAAAATAAAAAATTTCTTCAATTCTTTGTGACATAGTTTGATTCGCCATATAATTACTTTTGTGAATGCAGTGTTTGGTACAGCGTGCAGCAGAGAGCGAGGCTTCAACAATGGCTACATACTGTTATGTAAGAAGGCGGATTTCTCCTGCTCTAATGGGCTGAGGAGATTCGCCTTAACCAAGAGGCATTGCTACTCAGCCAAAAGGACCTGTGCTGAAGGGACTGAACTAATGTGACGGGGATCTGTAAGCCGACAAATGGGCACCAAAACTGACGAGTACATTTCAGAAATGAATTTATGCATTAGAAGAAAGTAAGGTGTGCATAATCTTACGCACTTTCAGGTACAATAAACCCAAGCTATTCAGTTCCAAATAGGAGGATTAATATGTGCTAGCAAAACTATTTCAGTAAAAATTTATATTATTTTAGCTTTTGGTAATCTTCTAAAATCAATTAACTCTGCATTCTGAGATTAAACTTGTTTTTTCCCTGAAATATTGAGTGGCAACCTGCTTTAAATGGTACCAGGTTGCAATGGTGAAAAGTATAAACCAAAACATCTCAAATATTAAACTACTACTGAGCCATGAACAGAAGTCACACAGGATTTTGTTAGTTTTGATTATCAGTTGTGTTGTCTTTGTGGCTGTGGTCAGTAAAAACACACGTGTATCTTACGCTTGTGCATTAATGTTTAGGATAACCACTTGACAGTTTTCCTTGGAAACGTTTGATGTCTGCACATGTAAATGGCCACAATTCAGCCCATTGAGCATCCACCTAAAAAAAAATGCAGCGCAAATGAACAGCTTCAATTCAAACATCAAAAACTTTCCTTTGGGTTTTAGAAGCTTCTTGAACCATTCACAAGTCTATCTGACAATTCTGCTCCTGAGCCTGAGAGGAAGCTATGTTTCAGGTAGATGTAGACATGTGCAGACATCAGATGTTTTCAGGTCAGGTGTCATACTGTATGTTATGAGGTCTTGGTCTGATTGCGGGCAGTCACAGTTATTACAAGTTCTCTGTCTTATTGTGTTTTGTGCGTCTGTGACTATTTTGCCACATGCTGGTTTATACATGCATGTCAACAGGTTCTCTGCTTACCGTTGACCTCTTGAGCTCCTGCATCTGTGAAAAGCATGCTCATCACCTCCTCGAAGTTGCAGCCGGGCTCAGATACATGGCTGTCCTGGCCCACATGGTGCAACATTCTCTTCAGAACATCGTCCAGGGAGGCAGCCGTCTCATCCAGCAGGATACTGGCCCTTGCCAGAAAGCCATCCAGGTCCCGGTGTGCCCGAATTTCCTCCTCAAAGTTCATCAACTTCACATACTATGGAAAAGTTAAATGAATTAATCAGTGCAATTCTGTAAAACACAATGTCTACCCTAGTTTCTGCAAAACTGGACCCGAGGCATACTATACATTTTATGCAGTTGTTTCTTTGTATTTTTGGTTCATCAAGACAATTAGTGTCTAAGATGTATTTCTAAGATAAAAAATTCTACTATCCCCAACAGGCTGAGGTATTTACATGGCGGTGATGTCTGTGATATTGCATTTGGAAAACATAATATAACATAATATAAGATAACTGAACCTCATCTTCAGTTCGTATATTGATCAGTGTTAGCCAAACTAATTCTTAGCAGCAGTTAAATTAGCATTAAGTCAAAGAGATCTTATTTTGTTAAAGCCAGGCAGACACTGTACGGACCTTATTTCAACCCTGAATTGGTTGACCATAACTAATTTTAATGAGGACACATTTTTGCCAGATTGTTCAATCAAATCAATCAAAGATCTGTCTGTCAGACAACTGGATGCATTTCTAGGTCAGAAATTTTGTTCAGCTGTCTTCAATTCTGAGCAGAGTTACTGTGCATTCTTCATTAATGTAGCTACAATATGTAGTCAACTGGCATGACACGAGACCCATATGAAGTGTTGAACCAGTTGGAGCGTTCTGAAGGCTTTAGATTTCTTCACGCAGGTTGAGTGTAACTAAATCTTAAGATCCACGGGTACCACATGGGTACCAAACAAAAACATTTATATTACCAAATTAAGTAAACCACTAACAGATTGGGTCTACACCACAAGTGGGAAAGTGCCCTAAAGCTTTGACGTTAAAGTATCCCTCCATACCATCCCCTCTGAGCCAAATTATGTCGTTTTCAAAATAGCGGAACATAGTGCAGAGACTTCACCCCTCCAAAGTTCGTCACATTAATTGGACCAGTGGTGTTTGAGAATCACCTGAGAGACTGACAAATGGACAGAGATGTGAACACAGCTCGATTAAGAGCCCAGACACCCACCGGTCCTCGATTTTATTGATCGTGTGATTGACAGAAATTCTGAAGACAAGTGGATTCCCTGCTGTTCTTTTTAAAATAAAACAAGGACTGAGCCGAAAAGTCCATGTCTAAAGTCTTTGGAGTTATTTGTGTATAGGGCTCTACAAATAAATTAGATTTTGTTATGTTTGCACGAATCTATCAGGGCTTAGGTCTGGGGTTCTTTTTCAATTTGGGTCAAGTCATTAAAAGGTTAGGAATAAATTTAATTAATTTGACATTGTGAAAGTAAAAACTATGCAGCTGTCGCAGAAACACAACCATATCAAAACTAATTCTATTTAAAGATCACTGCAAATAAACAGATCCACAACAAAGTTCTTGGCGGGGAAGGGAGGATGTGACCATGTGAAATTGATAAAAAAAATCCAAAAAACAGAAGGAGACCAAACAAATAGAAATGTAATACAGAATGGGGAGATTAGTGAAAAGAAGCAGCCAAGCTGTTGGCAGGAACAAGGCATAGCAAACTGAAATCTCTGACAGGCTTGTACTGAGAAAGTCTCGACAGCCTTGGTCACCAGTTTAAACTGATGCCCTCTGGGTGCTGCTTTAAACTCCCTGAACTGTGGAGGTAGAGAAACACCCATTTATCTCCAGTGCAAGAGGTGGCTTGTTGTGCACACAGAAATCTGTTATTACTCCTACTTTTAAAGCTATTAACCTGCAAAATCCTTGCTGGCATCAAAGTAGGAGTTTTTGTTTAAAGGTTAAATATATGAGATTTAAAACATTAATATAGCAGCAAACAACAATTTGCGAAGATATAATGGAGTCTGAACAGAGAATGATTTCAGACTCCCTTTGCCTGAGTTGCTTTCCCAACCTCTCTGTGCTCTGTTTACAAAGCTGGTGTGGCCACATGTTAGTGCATGTGAGTCCATTTGTTTCCAGCTGAGTAGAGCGACTTAAATTGAGGGTTTTCTCCTTTACGTCAGCGAATTATGGATTTTTATTTTGACCAAACCAGAAGTGGTGATTTGTGGAACAGTGGAAAGACTAACAAATGGGCAGTTTTTTTTTTTGTTGTTTTTTTTTTTTGTGCACTTTAAATGATGTTACGACGAAATGTGGGGTAAAATATAATTTTTGTCCATGGAGTCTGGTCATGAGCGTTAGTAATTTTACGGCTGTTTCTGATTAAACAAAAGGTTCATCTCTGTAGGGATCATTTCCATAACGTTGTCAGACAATTAGAATAACAATCTGAGCCTGTCAGTTAAAAAAACAAGCACTTTTAGTGGACGTACTTTGCTGGCACATTTGTACCCAAGGATTAGCTAATGTTACATGGCAGCCAAAGTTGCCCGTTTTGGCTATTTTCTAATCTAATTTAGTGAATTAAGGGTTTATTCCGACCAAACTAGTGTTGGTGATTGTTGGAAAGACTGTAGAAAAGACTAACAGAGATGGTTTTGAAAGCTTTTTTTCCCTATTCAGTTTGAAGTGTTAAAATTACTGGTTTGTCAACGGAGTTTGGTTGGCCATAGTGCCTACAGTTTTGGTCTGAGATTTTGGAGCTCGAGTGCAACATGTAGTGGAAAGCGAATGTGGTATATATATATAACCTTTAATAGCGATAGACGTTTTAAGTTTTTCGGTCATCTTTTGGATGTTTTTTGCCTTTTGACAGTGCAAGTGAAATAAGAAGGGGGGGATGACATGCAGCAATGGGCTGTGGGCTGGAATCCAACCTGGGCCGCTGCGGTAAAGACCCTCAGTACATGGGGTGCACGCTCCACTAGGTGAGCCACCAGGGTGTCCCAATGATTTATATTCTAACTGTACACTACAACATCCTATTTCAGCTTGGCTTTCATGCTTCTGCATTTGTGTTGCTCAGCCTTTACATCCTCCCACTGGGAAATATACTCAGACCTTGGGATTGATTTACAAAGCTACAGTATGCAGATGATGCTCAGCTGCAGCTCCATATGACACATTAGTATTAGTCCTAATGATGAATTGGTTCACTGTATGGATCGACTCACAGATTGCACTGAATGTATTGCAGCTGTGATATAAGATACAAGTTGTAATTATTGGTGCAAATGCCTGGAGAAAGAAGCACTGCATCAACTTAGACGTTGAGAAGTCTTTTGATTCCGAACTGAATTTCGTGGTATATTCCTTTCTCTGTCAGGCAGATTCTGAAAAGACGTCTGCACACCTTCCTCACTAGCAGGCTTGATTACTGTAATTCTCTCGTCTGGTTTTACCCTGGAAAGCCTTGAAATGCAGATGATCTAAAATGTAGCAGCAGGTGTGCCGGCCAAGTCCAGAGGCAGAGGACGCATTACAGCTGTGTTAAATCCCTGTCACTGAGAGGCAGACTTAAAATACATCTATTGAGTTCTGAATCACTTTACTTACTGATTTAAAGTATGGCTTGTGTGTCTGATATGTTAATTTGGTATGTTCCTCCTCTGACACTATTTGGTATCTATGCTAGGACTAAAACTCTGAGCAACTAAGTTTTAATAATAAGTCATACTATTGGAGCTAAGAATTCACATCAGTTAATTCAGACTGCCTCTAAGTGAGAGTTTTTATCTTGTTTGGGATTTATTTGACCTTCATTTTACTGTTTCGTCACTTTACATGTCTGTGCAAAGGATTTCTGTGAGTCGCAGTACCTCCTCTCTGGATGAACAATCAATGAAATCAAATGCTATTGTGTTTGTCTGGAATGAAAATGGTCTGTCCATGAATGAAGACTTTTGCCCATAATGTGGAAGTGTTCATTCATACAGAAAGCCAATTAAGACAACAAAATGGTAAAAACACATGACCTCAGGCTAGCCATCAAATTTGCAGGACCATCAAACAGGCAGTACCATCAAAGATGAGAATGTGTCTGTAAAACTGTATCAGTAAACAATATTCACATCGTTGGGATATCCCAAGCCTTTCTGTAAGATTTATAGCAGCATGATTCAGGCATATTTTAATTGATCTGAATTGAATTAACTTAACCACAGCCTGGATACACCAGCTGTTCTATAGGTATCATCAATGTGCCTTTGCTAAAACACTAAAACCAACTCCTAACATGGAACTAAATGAGTGAGCCAACTGAAAAGTGGCATGAAAAGATAAACAGCAGCAGACAGCAGTTTCACAGAAGATGTTCACACTGACAGCAGAGCTATTCAGTTGTCAAGCATATCTTACATAAATTGGATTGGTTTTATAAACCTCAGTTACTTCGACATTGCACTATGGAGCTATGGAGCCGTGGGCTATTACAGTATGTAACGAAATATAAGTAGTAGACTAGGATTTGATACTCATGACTCAGGCAAAAATCTTGATTAGGAAGCCCCTGGATGTAATGAAGCTTAGAATAAGTTACTGAATATGGCTAAGGAAGACATACAAAATATTTCTAGTCCCTCATTCTCCCCCACACTCCGCTCCTACTCGACTTATACTTCCATCAACAATCATTTCTCTATCATTTTGTACAATGAACTTATTAAGAAGGCAGCTCCCATTTGGTGTACAGTGGGTCACCAAATGTCTCTGAATTGTATTTATAGATTTCTACATTCATTATCAGCAATGTGCTTAAGTTCCTTGAGTAGCAAACATCTATTTTATGTAATATTGCATTACATTTACTTCAGTGAATTTATGCTTACCCTTCTTGATGTGTTAAGTAACACACAACCAGAGTCGTCAGCATCTGAGGAAAAAAACAAGAGGTACAATTAGACATTCAAAGTGTATCAAACATAATCACTTACTATATAGCTGCAAAGAATATATTCTGCTTTACACTGAAAGATTTCACTTGTGTGTCATATTAATGTCTCTCTAATGTGCTTTCAGCAGAAAAAGATAACAGACTCAGCTATATCTACTTGTATGGCTAGGCCTAATTTTTTGTATATCTGTCATAGATTGATCAGAATGTAAAACTGAAGATCTGATCAGGCTTGCAGGAGGTTTACATTAATTTGCAAGTAATTCACCTGTGGAAACCAGAAGACAATGACTGGTTGTCAGCATGGTAACCATTTCTTAAAAGGACTGTCATGTCCTGTACATTTTCAATCATTATTAATATTAACTACAATTGTTTTAGGCATTGTATGTCTTTATTAGAGAGTTGACAGTAAGGTGAGACAGGGGATGAGGGGAGAGAGAGATCAGATGACTTCCAATGTGTACGATTTAGTGCCACCTAGCAGTTAAGTTGCAGATTGAAATGAATTGATTACCCCTCGCTTCACCCTTCCCTTACCGCGGCTGGCCCGCGAAACTCCAAGAAAATGTAAATGGCCCGATCTAAAAACATGGTGGTCAAACATCGGTGGACTCTGTAGAAGAAGACCCACTCCCTCTGTAGATAGTGAATCACTTTAAGTTAACAAAAACACGATCCTTTAAGGTAGCACTAATGAAAACATACCTATGAATACTATTTTCCATTTCTGCCAATAGACCATCTTAAATGTTAGACACTGGACCTTGACAAGCAGCCTTAAAGTGGGAATTTTGCTGTTCATGGACAGGATGACACAAGGGCATCCATAGCTTCAGTTTTTAAAAAATACACAAGCATTTGCTTTAATCAGAATATTACAAATTAAACTCCTTAATGTTTTAATGCAAATGTGTAGTGACATGGTAATTATAATGTTCTGCATTTGTATTTAAAAGCAAAAGAGCATTGGTTACTAAATTCTGATATCAAGATCACAAGTAACAACGACTCAGCTAGTAAAGAAAAGAAGCCTGAGACCCTTTTTTTCTAATAGTGATGAAAATGTCAAGAGGAAAGTCTCTAAATGCTCCCATTGAACAGGGATTGTAAGTTCTCTGCTGATAAGGCTTTAATACACACGTCTGTGGAGCTGAGGCGAGTGCTCAGATAAAGTACAAAGGTCTGGATTTTCCCAGTGTTGAAAAAAAAAGAAAAGGAGGAAAAACCTTTTATGTTAGAAAACAATACGGGAACAAACCGAGGGAATGAGGTTTCTCAACACACTTCAGTCCCTTAACTAGCAGACTGTCAGTACCCTGCTGACTCTCATAAAACAGTCCGCCACTGCGTTACATAACACAGTTATCACCGTTTACTGTGGGGAGGACGTTATTATGTTACCATGGGCTTTCCTCCTCTGTTCCATGCACTGCACTATGTCGGCTCCGTCTGGAAATCAATCAGTGCTTAACTCCTCCCTCCAGCAATGGAAAAGCAAGAAACCCCCCTTTAACAAGCCAATAAGCCTCAGGAAAGCGCCAGGATATCATAATATCAATAATCCAGCCACAAGTGAACATGTTCGAGTGTGAGTCTGCAGGAAAGGAAGGTGGGCTTTGATCGCCACACCAAACACCTTGTCATCACAAAACCCTGCAGGCAGTGGAGAAAAAAAGAACGCCCCAGCCCCTACCTCTATGATGAGACTATGGCAGGGGGCACGTGTCGTGTGCAGTGGATTTGGTTCATCAAAGCCTCAGAATCAAAAAGCACACGGCTGGGCTTATCCGCTCCCAGAGGGGAGAGGGAGCTGTGCCTCTAATTGCTGTCAGGCTGCAGCCTTAAGGAGATATTCATATATTCATATAAGATTACCTCTTCCCCAATGATCACCTCCTTCTAATGGCCTCTGTATGTCTCAATATACTGTGTGGCTTAAAGTAATCCAGGAGAATTTCAGGGTTTATGGATTAGGGAGAGGAAGTGTTAAAATGTGACACAGGCTTGTTTCCCTACTTGGTTTCTTATTTGATCAATTTGGCACTAGAACTGTTGATTATATTCAGTCAGCCACAAGTGTTATGTAATTTCAGAGTGGAGTGTTGTATTATTTTAGTCATTAAGGGTTGCAGGGTGGTGACTGAGAATGGCTATATTACTGTGTGATAGGAGAGATCTTGTATCAGAACAGGCTCAAATGTCCTTGGACCGGGGCTGGGCAGTGTGATTGAAACAATACATGCACTTCTAATATGTGTTTGAAATTCAAAAAATAATGATTTGGTAGTATAGAAAAAAAAATTCAATTTAATTAGTATTACAATACCACCTGTTCATATTTTTTCACTTACATTTACCTTCCGTCTCTCAAACTCTGCCTTTCACATTTGATTTGCCCATGTTACTTCATTTGGAACAGTCAGTATAAGACTGTAGGGATACGCCGATCACATTGGTCTCAGGAACAGTACCGATTAAGTCGATTTTCGGATACTGTCCACGATACGAAATACTTTCTTACTTACATTTCTATTATTTTTTTCTTGGGGCACCATGAAAGCTCACTTGGTAGAGGAGACGCTCCATGTACCAAGGCTGAGTCCCCTGCAAGTGTAAGGGCTGGTCCACTTTTCTAGGACAGAATCTGCATTGCTCCTCCTGGACCTCAGGTTCAACAATTGGCTGGAAACCTTTCCAGTGCCCTGGCATAAGCGTTCCCAGGGAGACCGAGCAGTGTGATACCCCAATAACTGGAGCACACCCTCCGGTCCCCCTTTTCATAAATGGGAACCACCTCTCCAGTCTGCCATTCTGCAGCGTGGTCCCTGACCTCCATGCGACATTGAAGAGGTATGTCAGCCAAAACAACACCATGCTGAAGTTCTCTGGAGGCGCTAAAGGCTTTAACTTTAAATTCTGAAATCCTTGACTAGTAAATGATGAAATAAATGTTTTTAAAAAAGAGAATATTTATATTTTCTTTAAGTTCTCTAACTCAATATACAGTACTATATGTTTATGAAACAACCCCCACATAGGGTTATCAAGGTCAAGTAATGACCTTGGTCAAACCCCAAATCCTCCATTTTCCAGTGTGAGAGATGCTTGCCCTTCCTCATTACTTTTCCACTTCAATATTCAGCCAAATTGATTGAACTGAAATGGAACTGAGCCCAGTGCTGGCAGAAATATAATCATGAAATCAATTCTTTTTATGGAGAGCATTTGACAGCTTTCGGTCAAAGTTCTCTGAAGAGAGGAATATATAGGATCATGTCAAAACAATAAAAAACACAGACCAACAACAAACAACATCCTTGTATTACCAGCTGACAATATTTTCAGTAAGCTCTTCAATTTCTAATCTTCAACACTCACTTGAATAACGGCCATCAATCACTTCATTTGATCTTCGCCCGATGCCACTTACACACCAATACTGAGCAGAATGTCCTACTGACTCTACGAGAATGGTGAGCTTTCTGCATCTATCAATAACCAATGACAATAGAACAATTAGACAACATATTTGAGCTGCTGCTATATTTCTGCTAATATTTAGTACAAGCCATGTTCACCATCTTAGTTTGGCATGTTAGCATGATAACTAGCACTAAACAGAAATTGGAAGAAATGTTTTTTGACCTGATGATGGTGATTGATGAAAAGTTAAAGGATCAGTTTCCTGTCAATTCATCCAATATTTTCACAGATAATTCACTTAAAACTACAAATGTAAAACCTTGTGGTGGTGCTAGAAGAACACCAAAATCATGAGGATACATCATCTGGGAACCATTAAGATTTTATGCTAATCCATCTATTAGACGTTGAGAAATTTCAAGTAAAAACTTTGACCTGCTGGTGGTGCTATATAATTAAATTGTTAAGCACCATGGATATCCCCACCAAATGTCATATCTTTAAGAGACACATACTAATGCCTTTCTTTATCATCTATGATGTGAAAACATCAGATTTCCACATAGAGAAAGTGAAAGAGTCTGTCTGCTTATAGTTCAGTTATAAAATCTTTGCACACCACAGGAGCATCTCTCCTGCCGGGCTGCTGAGAGCACTGTCAGACGATGAGTCAATCACAGTGGCCGGCTGTAGAGAAGGTTGTACCACCATCTGGTACAAAAACGGTTTAGCTGACTTCACCGATAGTCATCCTCCTGGCTCCTGCATTGCTCTGTGTACAATGACATAGCTAAAAAACACTAGCACTAGCATTCACCCTTTGGGGACCATGAATGTCTGTGCATAATTTCATGCCAATCCATTCAATAGTTGAGCTATTTCTGCCTATACAGAAGTGGTGGAATAAGCAAACAACAGACCATCATTGCCATCCCAGAGCCAAGCTGCTAGCATGGCTAAAAAAGATCCACAACCCTCTAAATGTTTTAATATTGTAATGTTACATGAGGTGACTTCTTTACTCTTGATGCATCACACTTCATCCCCAACAGGTTCAATGAAAACCAGCTGAAATATTGCTGAATAAACCAATGAATATGTACTTGCCTCATCTACTGTACATAAACGGCTTTTCTTGGATGCATTTTGATAACTCGGTCTACCATTTTACAGGATGTAGAGCGTGTTACTACAGTAACAGCAGAGCAGTAGGGTGTGAGGACCCTTAATCAAAAAGCAAATACAGTAAACTGTGGCTACATTGCTTTATTTATGGACCTTGTTGTATATCTTCCTGTTCACAATGGATTTCCTCTTGAATTATTGTTGAAAGTCAGTAAAATAAATTGTTTTAGTCTAGAGACAATCTTTTTCTAAAAGGTTGTGCTACCAAAACTTGACATTCAGCACTTTCAGAGAGCTTTTTTGTCTTACTGAACATTTATGTTGCACTAAAAAAAACAGAAAAACAAAATGAACATGGAAATGCATGGTACATTGCAAATAGTTCTTTTAAAGTGTTTTACTGTGAATGGATAATTTACTACTGATATTGCAATTCACATTCTGTTTGTCACAATTTTGTCTTGACATTGATGACAAACGTAGTCTCATCCTCTGTGTTTTGTTGTTGTTTCTAAGAGATAAATTCATAACTATAACTCACTTTATTATTAAAATGTGCCTCCACTCCTCTTATTTCTAAGTTGGAGTTCGTTTTTTGTTTTTTGTAGGCATACACAATTTGTAGAATTGGAAAATTCAAAGCTTAAGTTTTTAATGATTAAAAAATGTAAAAACATGTACTTCATAGAAAACATAAGTATTTTGTTCTATCTGTATGAAGAGAGACAGATGAGCAGACGAGGAAGAACAATTCAGTGTTTCAAAGATGATTTTTCCCCCCCTTTGAAAGATGATGAGACTGTGGTAAAAAGAAAAATACTGCAGCACTTAGGAGGCAAAGCTCATATTCAAGATATTAAATTAAAAATTGCTCTTTAAATAACTCAAATGTTAGAAGCCATTATAAAATGTATCTTTAGTATGGTGCAGTTAAATATCCAACAGGCACAATATTGTAAAGGTCAGGATTGAACACTGTCCCAGAAACCCGGGACAGTATTATAGACCAGAATTATAAAAGCATCCAAAGCATGGCCACATTTTATCTGTTAAATATAGGGAGAGAAATTAATTAATTTTAACAGACAGATGTTTTTCAAATTAGATTGAGGTAGGAGCTGCTGTCTCTGGGTCTGATGTAATCACACCGCTATTTGCTTTTCCAAACCACTGCTTATGTAGCCAGACAGGATGTGATTAAAAGTCCTGTTCAGAGTCTTGACATTGATTTGATATGGTGGACATATTCCACAGTGGCCTGCTGATGTGGAATAATAATATAACCTAATAATTAGTGACATAAATTAAAAGCAGGAACAGGCACGCAAACAGCTAATGACACTGAGATCAAATGTATGTGACAACTAGACTTTGGGGGGGGGGGAGATAAAAACAAAACACACTAATCAACATTCAGCTGTGCTGTCAATGAATAATGCACTGAAAATCTGGGAACAGACACTGCTGGGCATGACAAACATTCTGCACCTGCGGGTGAGAATTTTGCCTGATGACAGCAGTGAGGATTCAACATATTACAGCTGTATAGAGGGAGAAGAGTGTAGTAAAAACACTGCCAGGTTTAGGGGATCAGCTCAAACTAAAGCGAGGGGTGTGAACCAGTGGCTTGTGATTGGGATGAGCGATATGCCGGTTATATAGCATGAGATGATATAATTTATCTACCATCAGAGATTTTGACATACCGTTAGTGTGGTATCCCTAAATATTTCTTTTTTTTTTGCATCAATGTGATGAAGTTTCTTCAGGATTTTGTCATATTGAATGTTTTAACTGCACTTAAAAAACAAAAAATCCCCAAACAAACAAAAAAACACAGTATATTGTATTGCTGTACTTGTATTATAGTGAGATCACTGAAGTTACTATTCAGTTTCTGTCTCATCTTTTTGAAGATATTTTTGTGCTTTGTTCTGATGACATTGACGACATGATGATAAAGTTTTTTTGTTTTTTCAGGTACTCAATTCACTGGATTGGAGAAAAAGAAGACCAAAAGAATTTGTAAACCTCAGAAGCTCTGAAAACCCTCAATGAAGAAACATAAACCTGACTTACAAATAAAGATGCTGATGTGACCACTGATTTATTTACAGTATTGTAAGTGCCCATATTTTTGGTCTTGTCACACTAAAAACTGCAACAGAACAGAGAAGTGGTCCAAATACTGTTTTCATAAATGGGGCAGGAATGCCATCATCAGAGTTACAGAAATCACCATTTATGGTAATGGGCATTGACTGTATAATCTGTTCTGCTATGACAGTTTACACTATGCCACTCGAGTATTTTACACCCTTATTTTAGACCTGACATTCACCTGTCCAACTAGACAGAGGGAGTTTTCTCCGTTGTTTTCTTTCTCTAACTTGTTCCCAGCTTGCACCACTCCAGTTCTCTTGTCAGATGCCTTAAGTGTTACTATGTATGGAGAATCAGCCCAAGTGACATGGTCACCTGTCACATCTCTCTCTCTTTCCTTTCTCTCCCCGTGGTGCACCTGTGACTGTTGCCGTGGCAACGGTAACCTGTTGACTTGTGGGGTTTCTGGTGATGGGGTCAAAATCATCTGCACCTGCAGCTGAGGAGCTGTCTGTCAAGTCAACACCTGCCATCAGGCTCGGGATGGACTCCCCCACCAGGCCCCCACAGAAATTAGTTTAAAGTTGTTTGAGGATTTTCTGGGCATTTTTCTTTTGCTTTCTTCTTGAATGATGCCTCGGAGATCTGCCATGACTGCTGGCACGCACCGCCTATGAAGAATGGGCCTCATGTTATGATTTAAAACATCTCCAAGAAGGATGAAGTGCAAGGGAAAAATAGTGCTATTGATCACACAGTTGAACAGCAGAGGAGATTATTGACTGGAAGAGGAATATTCAGAGAGCCAGCAATTTTTTACCTTTTTCATATCTGGGCAAGCTGATCGTGACACACATTCCCACTTAAAAAGTCAGAGATTGCAGTGAGATGTCTCTTTATGCACAGCATGATACTGGCCATTTCACAGGGGTAAGGTGTAACTGGAACTTCCTGGTACTGTTCCAGAAGTAAGAAAACCTCATTCAAAATACCACTGACATTTGTACTGAAGCTGCAAACTAGAAATTCAGCCTTGAAACAGAACCTTATTCAATAGTAAATCATGTGGCTCAGTTTATATTAGATTAGATAAGGATGATAGTTTAAAAAATCCAAACCCTAATATTATTGTATATGTAATATCGCTGTTTATTCGATGAATACCATTTCAGGTGAAATGTCACAGTTCATCTGTCATCTGTCATCAAAGGCCAGCCCATCGACAAGTTAAGGACTGAGTTAGTTCAGTTATTGCATGCTGTAATGACAGCAGGACAGAGAGAAGTGAACGCTGTAAAGTTTTTAGACAGCAGAGATTACAACTAAAAAAAAATCACCGAAAGAGAGCTTGATGTTAAAAACCCAGCAAACTCCAGTTTAAACAAACTTGCATTGAACAGAGGCTTGCCTGGACTTAGATAAATATCTGGCCTTTTATTTGCTAAATGCTGCATTATGTTCACCAGCTAGTTGCTAACTTTGTCCGTCTGCTGTGTGTTGATGGACAGGTAGCACACAGTGGGGATTTTATCAGAGCTTTTTATCAAAAACAGCTGCTGTAGCTGGAAATGACAGTGATGAAAGTGGTGACACAGACACAAAGTAAAGTTACGGTCCGCAGAACCACAATAATGAGCTGAAAATCCCCAGGAGTGACGCGTTTCACATACAAGTAGACCTTTGACCTGTTGTGAATATAAAAATATTGATTATACCTGCTTTAAAGAGCAACGTAACACCATTTTAAATATACAAGCCCCCCAAAAGCTGACTGTACGTATACAGTCACTTACTGACTCACCAACTTCTCTCTAGATCTATTGTTAAATTAGCCCTTAACATTGATTCCTACTTATTGGATCACTAAAGTTTTCAGGTGCTTTATATAAAAAAAACAATGAGATACATTTTAAAAAATCATCGATCATTTTCCATCTTTTGCCTTTATTTTATCACTACTTTATCACAATTATTTCACCTCCTGTCTCCCCCCAACTCTTTTTTCCTCCGTCTCTTTATCCTTCCTCCTTATCCCCACAGCACACTCTAACCCCCACTGCCCTCTCACTCTCTATCTGCCTCTCTCTCACTCTTAACTCTGTCTTTCCCTCTGTGTACTGACCTGGCCCAGGGCTGATCTGGTTGTCATAGAGGTGGATGTCATCTCCGCAGGCAATCGGCGAGTCCTGTCCCTCCTCTCGGCCCTCGCTGCCCTCCTCCTGCTCCACCTCCCGCTGCTCTGGGGACACAACAGCACAGGGTCACCTCCTGGACCTCACCAGCTACCAGGCAGTGCAGCAAACTCACTTTTATTATCATCTTCAGCCAAAGTAGCTGGCAAGTACAGGAATTCAACAGGAGCCTACAATTCATCTTCAACAGTACAGCAGAATAAAATGAATCATTCTTTTTCCAAAAGAAGTGTTAGTGGGAGAGTTTCTTTTATAAATCGTATTTTAATTGCATTGTTAAATAAACACAAAATGTGAGTAAAAACTCCCACTACAAGACCCCCTAAAGTCAAATCCTGTCAGAATAGTGCTTAGCAAAAAGTTTAGACAGCAACAAGATATTATTACAAGAAATTATGCCTTTCTGTGACAGCTTATCTGAACCATCCTGACACCGTAATAAACATATGGTGCTCAAAAATAAAAATCCTCAGAATTATATGCAAATATTGTTTTAGTGTCACCTGAAGGATGTCACGAGGAGGCTTACTTGTCAAATATGCACTCAGATTTCACTGCAGCTTTCCTTTTTACATTATTCTGTTTGGTTTGGTTGGAGTCTATTGAGGTAAGTAAAAAAGGTTGTACGGTTTGTTAATTATTTTCATTATCTATTTATTGACATATCATTTTACTCCATTAATCGATCATCACGTGCATCAAGTTATAAGAGACTACGGTTACATCTTAAAATATCACCATTTTAAAAGCCGAAGATATTCAGTTTACTATCACATAAAACTATGAAAAACTAGGAAACAAGAAATCATCACATATGCGAGCTGAATTTCAATTATTTAATTGTTTCAGCTCAATATATTTTATTATATGTTTAGAGACATAATGTAAATCAAATATGCTGGTAAAAAAGCTGAAGGGTTAGCTTAGGGTTAACACTGTCTAGAAATGTAGGCGTTAGTCAAACAATAACCAAAGATGTAACTCACTGTGTTTTGAAGGTGACAGAAAACAACATTTCTTATAAAAAGAGAAGAGATGCTCAACAAGTCTTCTGTTATTCCTGACCTTCAGATGTTTGTTTCATTATTTATTATACACTGCAGCTATCTTTTGTCATACTGAGGCATTTTTATTAGTACTGTATATTGTACAATTCTATGCATCTTTATTTACATCTGGGCAAGGTATAATGGATGACAGTACATACACACACACACATATATATACACATACATATATTACAAAAATGAAAATGTCAGTTTTCTTGTTGTTTTGACATGAAGGTTATTATTTCATGAATCAGCAGGTAGACAGGTTTTTAGCAGTTTTGTTGGCGTGTATTGGAGAGGATTTTGTATGGTAGAAAGCATCACAGGACGCAGCCTGGAGCCTGTTTGTATGACTCATCCCATTCTCTCTTTCTGACACAGCAGCCCCTTAAATCCAATCCTACAGTAACTAGTGGGCTCCCAAATATCATCCAGCGATCGGCTTGATGCGACGAGAACAATATCTCAGACTCGTGCTCTTTATTTGCTGACCTTATCTGTGAGGGGGCCCCAATTTCAGTTCATTCAGTTTGTCTTGCATCAGGATCATCCCTCAGCACTTGACATTATTTGAACCTCGCTGTGTCGTCGCCTTGCCTGCATCCCTCTGTGCCTCAGACTCACCGGCTGGGCTCTGACTTTCAAATCACCTTGGGAGAGAACAGCGGCTGCAGAGCAGGAGGAACGAACCGACAGCTTTACTCCAAGGATGGTATCAATTTTAGAAGAAAGTTCTTAAATGTTTATTACTTAGCTATGTTTATCTATTTATTTGTTATATTAAACTCCAAATATGCAATCCACCATTCAGAATTAGGGCTGATTGTGTTAAAAATCACAATCTGGATTCTTTTCAAATTGTCATTCCAATAATAAATTGAATCAATTCTGCAGCATTTGAATCCAGACGAGCTGCACGTGAAGCCAAGCTCCTCTTCAGTAACTGTGACCAGTCAATATAAACATGCAACATGTAGAAGCAACGAGGGATGTTTGATATGAGAACACTGAATGATTGATGTGTTTCCTTCAAACGGTGCGCAGTGTTCTGCAGAAGCCTTTGAGATGAGTTTGGAGCTGTGACAGGCAGAAACACTACAGTGTTACAAACAGCCACACTAGAGCATGTTTGCATCATTAAAGATGTTTTAAACTTTTATGCTTTGTGTTCCGAGAATTACTCGAAGAAGATACACAACTGCTGTCATCGTTATGTTATCTAAGGCTTCAGCAAACCACAGAATAAACTGTCAATTATTGTTCTGATTTATAAAAATTACAAAGACCAAAAGGACGTCTTCAAAAATCTTGTCTTGTCCAACCAGCAGTCCAAATAAAGCTGAAAGCATTAAACTGCACATTAATCAATTAGTGTATTTAAAAAAAAAACTAGTTTATTAATATTTTTAGCAAACGCCAAACATTTCTTAGCAATTTCTCAATATTGAGGATTGGCTCTTTTTTGTTATATTGTTTGATAGTAAACAGAATATTTTTAGGTTTTGGGCAGACAAATCAACTTCAGGAAATTATAATGGGAATTTTGACTAAACAATCAATGATGAAAATAAGATTTAGTTACAGCAAATCCTCGCATTTGAACATCTGGAAGCAGAGAAATTGTTAAATCATTTAATTACTTTTCCTTACCACTGATCGAAATGTCTCAACACAATACTCAACAAGTCAACTAGTGTCAGT